ACCTGTGAATTTTCGGAGTTCTTACAGCACACATACACTTTTCGGAGCTCTCACAAGTTCTCGTTGAGCTATAGCTCGTAGTTGCAGATGCTCTTCGAATTCGTAGTTGCAGATGCTCTTCGAATATTGTAATATATTTTACAGGTTCTTTCTTGGAGCATTCCAATTTTCTGCGTGTGACCTTTCGAAGGTACTGCAATTACTTTTTGAACGTCACATGGTCATTCTATAAANTTTGGAGCTCCGACAAGTCTTTTTTGAACGTCGCAACACTTTCTTAGTAGCTTTTTGCTACTTCACTTTGAACCTCTTGNAACTTCTCGTGGAACGTTACAATTAGTTTATTGAATAATTTGGAGTTTCCAAACACGTTTGAACGTCACAACTATATTTTTTTAGTGTATAATTGCGTTTTCGAACGTTACACCTTTCAATTTTGAAGCTTGCAATCACGTTCTAAACGCTGCAACTCTTCTTCTTAGAGTTTGCATTGGCGTTTTGAACGTTGCGGCACTTAATTTTTGAAGCTTGCAAGTACGTTTTAAACGTTGCAGCTTTTTATTAAAAGTTTTCGGAGCTCGCATAAAGCTTGTTTGAAAGCTGCGTCTGAGGTCCATGTTTTGGAACTCTCAGATTTTTCTTTTGAACGTTGCAGCTCTTTGTTTTTATAAAATCATTATTTTTGGAGGTCCTGCAAGTTTTTGTTGAACACTACAGCTCTATGTCGGAGTCTGCTACTTTGATTTGAACAATGGGATTCAAATTTCTGTAATAATTTTTTGAAACTCCTGCAACGTCGCAACGCTTTTTCATGAAGTTCCGGAGCTACTACAAAAATCTTTTGGTANGTTCNAAATCTTCAGATTAATTCTTGAAGCTGCTACAAATTCTTGTAATGCTCAANTTAAGATTCTTTGGAGCTGCTANAAGTTCTTGTTGAACTTCGTAATGCTCTCNNTAAGATCTTTTGGNNCTACTACAAGTTCTTGTTGAACTTTGTAATTCTCTTGTTAAGATTTTTTGGTGCTACTACATGTTCTTGTTGAACTACGTAATGCTCTCGTTAAGATTTTTCGGAGCTACTACATGTTTTTGTTGAACTATATAATGCTCTTTCGGAACTACTACGGTTTGTTTTTTATTTTTCAAACATTGTAGTGCTCTCTGTACTTTGTTTCAGAGCTACTACAAATTCTTCTTTGAATTCTGTAATGCTTTTTGGAGCTACTACGCTTCGCTTTTCGAACGTTGCAGTGCTCTTTTTTTTTTTAACTTTCAAAGCTCTGTAATGCTCAACTTAAGAAATTTGGAGCTACAAATTCTTCTTTGAATTTTGTATTGCTCTTTGGAGCTACTACACTTCGTTTTTCGAATGTCGCAGTGCTCTTTCAATTAAGGTTTGGACTACTACAAATTCTCTTTTGAATTTTGTAATGCTCTTTCGAGCTATTATGGTTCGTTTTTTCGAACGTCGCAATGCTCTTTTCTTTTAAGTTTCAGAGCTCTGTAGTGCTCTACATAAAATTTGTTTTTGAAGCTACAATCTCTGTTTAGGATGTTGTAATCCTCTTTGGAGCTACTACGATTTATTTTTCGAACATCGTAGTGCTCTTTTCTTAGTTTCGCTAGGTAGTTTTTCTTAACATGTGACATGGTTAGTGTCTGGTGTATGTTCTTCACCTTACACCAGGTCTTGCCCCTGTTTATTGCGATCGTGATCACATCGAGATGTTGGTTCGTGTAAACTTCTTTATTAGAATAATTGTCCAGAGACATGTTGTGAATCAGGACATGAAAATAATGGCGAACACTTGTCTCGTAGCTTCTATGCTTTTGGTGCGCACAGCTTTGATATGTTGTGAGGACTTTTTTTTTTTTTTTAGATTTGCAACTATGCCTTAAGGA